TGTCCTCACCAGTACCGCAGTGATGGTATAGTGGTGTGTCCTCCCTTCCAAGTCGGCACAGGTACCTCCCGAAGCAGCCGTGCCCCGTGAGGACCTGCATCAAATGGAAGGTCAGCGCTCCGTGCCGCCTCTCCTTCCATTCCCTGAGGACAGGCTGGATGGCGGCAAGAGTGCGGACTCCGGAGCTCGAGGCTTAGGGCCCAAGCCTCAAGGAGCTCCTCCGTATTGCCTCCTTAGCGCCACCATTTCATCAGGGGTCAGGCGGTCACCCCTCGCTAAGGACTCCTTACGAGCTTTGTAAACCTCCGTGAGCAGTTTGACTTCAAGCTCCCACAGAGGCATACCCGCAAGTGCGCAGGCTGCGCTACCTGAGGTAGTGCGGTATGCGCGAATGGCCCTGTTTGCCACCACTCTTTGGGGTCTCCTGAGCAGTGCACGATTTTGTGCACTCAGGGAATCAACCCAGACCGGGGCACCGTACAAAGCCATGCTTCGCACGACCCTGGCGAAGAGGCGGCGGCATACAAATTGGGGCCTCCCAAGTTTGGCAGAAGACTGCCAAGGGCTGTTGCCGTCTTGATAAGTTTTGGGGCCATCTGCTTGAAGTGGTGGGTAAAACTCCACCGACTATCAAGCCAGAGCCCCAAATACTTAATATGTGGTTTGAGAGTAACATCCACACCATCCAGAACTATGTGCGCGTTTGTTGGCAACCTATATCGTGGACCGTGGAACAGAATCGCTTCCGTTTTTTTCACGTCCACCTGCAGGCGCAGTCTGCGAATGCGCTCAATCGTAAGCTCTGTAGCAATCTCCGCCAATCGCTTCGTGGAACTAAAGGAATCCCCCCGCGCCGTAACGAGTGTATCATCCGCGTAGCGGACAACACTCGTACGGGGGAGGAGTGATCCACGAAGGACCCAATTATAGCCAAGGTTCCACAGGAGTGGTCCAAGAACCGACCCCTGTGGAACGCCGCAAGCCATATGTATCGACTCCGCAAGTCGACCACCTCTCTGTCTCTAAGGTAGTCACCAATTACCCGACAGAGGTACTCAGGGATCTCGTGAAATAACAGCGCATCCTCAATGCACTGAAAGGGGAGAGAGTTAAAAGCGTTCTTGATGTCAAGAGACACCGGCATCAACAACTCTCTCCTCCCTGAGGCTTTCTCGCACTCCCCTTTTAACGCAAGGATTGCGTCTACCGTCGACCTATGGCGACGAAACCCATACTGGACGTCTGAGAGTCCCGGTCCCACGTTCTCCAGGTGCTGGACGATACGGTCTGCAACTATTCTCTCGAATATCTTGCAGACCTCGTCCAGCAACACAACCGGTCGATAGCCGGAAGGGGAGTCCGCCGGTTTATTCTCCTTCCTGAGAAGGACCAGCCTGCCTTTTTTCCAGCATCTGGGAAATCTGCCCTTCTCAAGGCCGTTATCCATGAGGGATTTGATATGGATTCCCAGATACTTTATGGACAGTCTCAGGGCTTTCCGGGGACTCCGTCGGGATCGGGGGCTTTGCGTTTAAGACGCAACCTCTCAATAGCGTCTTCCAACTTCCCTTCCATGACCGGGGAGTGGGCACCATCAGCCTCTACCACTGGCGTTTGGACCAGGAGGGAGGGGACCCCAGGCGGATATCTAGGAAACAGGGCTAATACAACCCTTTCGAGGAGTTCCTCATGCATTTGTTCCGTGGAGGGTGGGTGCTGTGTCATCCTACTTCGGATGAGTTTATAAGGACGCCTCCACGGATCACGGCTGAGGTCGTCTAAAAAATCCTCCCACGCCGTAGACTTTGCCTTGCAGATGGCGTTCCCTAGAGACCTTTTAGCCTCGGCATAAACCCTCTTCAGATGAGCCTCTTCCGTCTCGTTTCACCTGCTTCTGCGCCTACTGCGCAGCAAGGTCCGCCTCTTGCGTTTGCAGTCCAGCCTCAGTCCCTCTAGTTCGGCCGACCACCAATACACTTGCGTGCGTTGTCTTGGGCCGGCAAAACGAGGCATGGATGCATCGCAAACCTCTGATAGCGAACCCCTTAATAGGTCCGCCCGTTCGTCGATATCGGTGACATGGACTTGGGTGTCCAACACCCAAGCCTGCACCATACTTGGCTCCTCTACCATGCCAGGGTCCATTCTGGTGATGATCCAGCGAGGGAAGCGAAACCTCTCACCAGTCGACGAAGGTGGACTGCTGCCTGATGGGGGGGAGATCACAAATCGTATATATCTGTGATCCGATAAGGTCTCCTCCCCCACAAGCACCTGCCAGTTGTTGGCCCTTCGTGCAAGAGCAGGGGTCGCAAAGGTGAGGTCGACGATGGAGCCCACCGTTTCACCCCGCCATCGCCTCACGCACGTAAATTCACGACCCCTGTTTAGCACTTCGAGTCCCGCAACTGAGGCCCAGTTCAAAACGAGCTCACCTTTCTGCGAATTTCTGGGGGAACCCCAAGCCACGTTTTTGGCGTTGAAGTCCCCCAGGATGAGCATGTGCTGCGACGCAAGTCGACCCACAGCCGCACCCAGTCTTCGGACCCAGTCCTCATATTCCGCAAAAGGTTTTGTAGGCGAAAAATATACACAAATGATGGTGACTCCTCCCCACATTATTGCCACGTAGCCAGCCCCCTTCTCCCTAAGCACAAAGGGGGGGGGGGGAATGTAGCAGCAGCCGTACAAGAAATCGCCTTGTGCCCAGGAGCACTACAGTTGAAACACAGAGTGCTTCTGTCAACCTCGTTCGGACACATCATCCTTGTATGTCCGATACGCTGGCACTTGAAGCATTTCAAGGGACGGAGCTCCAAGATGCGCGCGCGGACACTGCTCCATCCAATAAGGAGTCTGCCTGCTGTAATAACTGCCTTAGCAGCTGCTATAGGGCATTTGAGTATAGTAGTACGAAGACCACCGGGCCCCAGCATAAAAGCACCCACTTTGATCTGCTCTGCGGAGCAGCCCCCATATTTAGAAATTGCCTGGGTAATGTGCTGGGCAACGAACGAGTCATCGAGATCCGAGATGCGCATATCGACGCACATCATCGGTCTCGACACTTTTGCTACGCCGTCCAATGCTTCAATTCAATGCTTCAATCCCTCCAATCGCCGCCACAGGCGCCAGAATTTTGAAGGTGCCGGGCGCGGACAGCGGGGAGCAGGCGAATCTTCTTGCCTCCAGCCTGAAGAGGATGTTCGGCGACTCGATTGCTGTATCGACGCAGACCAAGAGGGTGGATATGCTGTAGAGGAATACCATAGGAATACCATACCTTAAAATAAATTGTTCCTTACCTCTTTGACTTGTAGTACTCTGTTGATTATACGATGCCTTACCTGGTTTATGCCAACCCCCTCGTAGAGACATCGTGGTAGGCACCGAAGACGAAGTGGATGGCAAGACTGATATCTCCTCGTCCTTTGCACCTCGAATAGCATCCTTTAAAAGGTCATAGTTGCGGGCTGCAATAATGGTGCTTATTCTCTGATCGGACAGCCCGTCACAAAACCGCTTAATTGCTAATTTCTCGTTTAAAGGAAATAAAACTCGATATTTACTCTCATCGCCATTTGCCTGCGATATCGTCAAATCAGTTAATAATTGTTCTAATTCGTTACCAAATTTTTCAATCGTCTTTCTTTTTTGCGTACATAGTACTAATTGAGAATGCAATGAAGTATAAGCTTTTTGCGAAAGTAAATATTTACGCATATCTTTGACGAGATCGCCGACCGAAGTATAATTTGCCGACATACGCGACTTTGCCAACTCTGTGAGCCGTGTTTTCAATACATAATTAATTAAAATTATTTTACTCGACTCATCTAAGGCAGATTCATACATTTCGATACCGTCTATTAGCTGTTTTGTGACGGTTTCTGTACCGTCCATTCTAGGCAATATAGAGGCCGCCGTTTTAAAATCAAAGCGTTCCATATTTAAATCACCTTTTTTCCTGTACAGTACATAAGCTCACTATCTCTCTATATAATTGTTTTATTTTAAGTATATAATCGCTAGTCAAAGTCAAGGTTTGACTTGGTATATTACCTTGTTCTAATGACTGTGACAGACTTTGTTCTAACACATAAAATGTTTTAATTAAGGTTTGCGCCTCACTATATTTATTACTTAAAATATTACCTTTATACCTTTCTTTACTCTTCTTTATTAAGTACGTTCTAATAGCTTTCAGATCTTCATATATGCTAGATAAATCTTTTGCCATAATTTTCTTTAACTAGTTTTATTATCATCATAATAAAGTTTTATAAACACTATAGTAAAATGAAATATTTATATATTTAAACAAAAAAATTCAAACTATAACTTAGAAAAATAAAATTGACTTACTTACATACGCAGCTGGTAGTAGTACACAATATTTATAATTATTTCTCTCATAAAGAATATAGGTATGAATATATGTTTAGTTTTTATATACGTAATTGAAATGATACAAAATTAAATTTATTATAGCTACATAAATGTTAAAAAAAATCAGTTCCTTTATACCGCATCACAACTATTTTTCATATAGCATATTTTTCACTTTTCACTCATCACTTTAACCACTATACTCATGCCGTAGTGCCATCATTGGAATCGATTTACCCTGTTGAACATCTGGCGGGTTTTCGTTACGTCTTCGCCAACTAACCGATCGTCTCCATACTGTACGGTTTATTTCCTTGTTAATCCACCTGCGGTGGCACTTCTTATACCCAATGGTCAGCACTACAAAAATCACTCCCAGTACTACTATCACGACGATTATTAATAATATATTAGTGATTTCAACGTGAGATTGCAGCTGTTCCACTGAGGCTGCATTGCTGCTCCCTGCTGCGTTTTGGGCTAGGATAACCTCCTCCTTCTCTACTGTTGAACGGCACATCTTTTGGTTTTATTTTGTTCGGTTGCAACGCGCATGAAGTTCAAAAGTCCGAGTAGTAATGCCATAATTAATTTACTGTTATATTATTCCACTAGATATTTGACACTCGCGCGCCTCCGCGCATGGCAGGATCACCATGTAGAGGTGAAGTTAGTGTAAATAAAACGAGAGTTCGATGAATACTGATGTTTAATAATTAGGAACAAGTATATATATGGGGTTCACTGTACAATGCGGGTGACCGAGCTTGACGACTCGGTCACCTCAGACGAGTTAAGGTCGGAGCTGGCGAGGCAGGGCAACTGCCCTCCGGAGTTGATTGTTCTGGGGCCCATTACCGGAGTCAACGGAGGTCTGAACACGGCCCTCCTGAAATGCCCTGTGGCGGCTGCCGAAGTGTTGGCCAAGAGAGGAAGGCTCCTGGTGGGATGGACGTCCACCTGGATTAGACGCCTTGATCCCCTACCCATGCGCTATTTCAAGTGTATGGGTACGAACCACGTACGGAGGGTGTGCCCCTCCAAGGAGGACCGCTCTGGAGTTTGCTTCAGGTGCGGCCTCGAGGGGCACAAGGCGGCGTGTTGCCGCAATGAGGCTCGCTGCGCCGTTTGCGCAACTGCAGGTCTCCCGAGCGGTCACGTGATGGGGAGCAAGAGGTGCTCCCCGCCTTCCGTACGGGCACGGTCGGTTCCCGTGCCCCGTGGTACTCGTGCGGTACCGGCTGAGGACCTCCCTGAGGTGATGGACACGCACTAGCGTGCTCATCTCTCTCGGGGGGGGGGGGGGGGGGGGGGGTGACGGCTGGAGCGGCTAGCAGTTGACTGGTTCCCCGGCAGGGTTACGTATGCCGGGTGCACCTGTGTCGCTGCTAATGAGAGGAACATGGGGAGTTGACCTGCGTTTCGCAGGTAAGGGGATTTTTTCTGTGGCCCCGGTCTGGGTGCCCGGCCGGTCCGGGCGGTACCATTACGGAGCCGCGCCGAGAGGAGCGGCGGAGCCGGTTGATGAGGCCTGATAGCGCCCTTTTCAGGGCTGTGGTCGGGCCGTACTCCGGTGGTAGCTGCGACCGTACGGGAGGAGGGATCCACGATAAGGGCTCTGCCTGTGTGGGTCCTTCCAATAGATGGGAAAGAGACTAGAGATTGCACAGTCGCGCATCTCTAGTCCCTAGTCGGGGGCAGCTGGCTGGTTTGCGCACTAGCCGGCATTGCACGTTTCCGCCCTGTCTGGGGGGGTACGTCTCGAGTGTCTCTGAGATGTGCCGCCCAACCTGCGAGGGACCTGCCCTTTTCAGGGCGGGCCGAAAAGGTGGCGAACCGCGCGGTGTATGGCCTCAGGGCCGATCCCGTGCATCGCCTTCCATGCGAGGAACATCGCTGAGTTTTAGTGGGTAAACTCCTGTTTCTTGTCTAGCCCTTTCGGGGGTGGGGCCACAGGAGGAGTCCCACATAACTCGTGAAGCCCGCGCTGGGTGTAGCGGGTATGCGTAACGCATTTCTCAGCGTCAAAAAAAAAAAAAGGGCTGATCTCCCGTCTTGCCCTCATTAGACGGTCTGGCAATCTGACGGGCAGCGGTTCTAATCGGAGTATCCGACGCCAGAGGGGGTCTTTCAGGATTGATCGGCATTAGTCGACTTTCCTGATCCCTGAATCTCTCTTCAAAATATGAGCTGAGCGACTTAAAGTTTACGTCGATCAACTCTTTGAGAGGACCGGTGTTCACATCATGTTCCGACTCTGCGACAACTTCCATGGGGAGGGACTTGTTGTGTCTCCCCCGGGATAGACGATGCTCATTAAGTAGAGCATCTCTGTCAGATCGCTCCCTCTTTAGTGCGGCGACCTCCCGCCTGAGCACATCCAGCTCTCCACTTAAGCGAGCATTGTCCGCTCTTAGTAGGAGGATTTCCTCCTTGGAGGACATCCTCGCAGTCCTTAACCAAACTTGCTTCAAAGATGCAGTGGCTATTTTAAGCTGTTTAATCACTGGTCCTTTGAGGTTTTTGGACTTCTTGTGAAGAAGAGCCAACTCATCAATGTGGCCTAGAGCCTTTTTGTGCATCTCAGAAACCGACATTCCCTCAGGTATATCCGTGACAATGCCCACATCGTCACTCTCCAGGTATCGACACTCAACATCCGAGAGCGAAAGTGAACCTCGATTTAGCCTCCTTTTAGCTGCCGCTGCCCCAAAGAAATGGGTTTTGGCCAGTCGAGCGGTCTTAGCTTTAGGAGGAGCAGACCTCTCTATGACATCATCCTCGCCCCATATCTCATCGATAGGGTGTTCAACCTCGGCAGCCGGTGAAGAGACCCTACTATTCCCAGGTAAAGGTGACGGAGCCCGGGAAGCTACAGGAGAAGGTATAGGGGAGTGGAACTCCTCCTCTCCAGCAGAAGAGTGATCAGATTCTACAGCCACTCTTTTAGTGTCATGTCTCGTGACAGTTTTGGAGCTATCCCCGCTGTCATCAGACGATTCAGAATCCGAGTGACCTCTTTTCGCTTGCATGTTATCAGACGACTTAGCTGAAACAAACGACGCATGCGAAACGATGGATGTATTCGACCCGTAAGAATTCGGCGCTAACTGAACCTCTTTATTCTCATTTCCAAAGTCCAACTTCAACGAGCGGCTACCCTCTGTGCCGCAAGTATTCATCGAGGAAGTTGAGCCAACCTTTGTGGTATTCATCTGCGTTACACTAGGGCGATTCCAACGCAGACTGGGCCCTAGTAGACGAGCGGGTTACTCGCACAGGTGTTTGCGTACGAGTGGGAGAACACTCTCTAAACTCTTCGTTATTCTTCGTCAAGGAATCAACAGAAGTGGACAGATTCCTCCTCCTGTCAATCTCTGCATCAGACGACCTACTCGACCTCGCACGCTCTCTAGACGCGCCTCTGGAGTCGGGAGTGTCACTGTTATTCCTCCCTTTACCTCTGCTCGACGACGTCGACCTCTGTTCCCTAGGCTGATCCTTTAAAGAATCTATAGCCCGGAGATCAGGTATGGCAAACATGGATGCGTTTGCCTGGGTTTGGCCCTGAGAAGGGCCTTTTTCCTCACAACGCGCTCCTCCGCCCGCGCTGGGCCTATCCCCTCGGTGCGGGGAATCATGCTCGGCACTCCGCTCGCTTCCGCCCGAGCTCGGCCCACTGACGTCAAAAGAGGAGTTTTGTTGTGTATTATTAAAATCCATTTTGAGTCCCACGAGTAAGGATCGGTGTATCGGTCCGCACAGACAGAGCCGCCTTGTCTGTGTAAGCTATGAAGGTGGGGGTGCGATGTCTGGCTACCTCCTCGTGGTGCACCCTGGGCAACGTGGCCGCTCAAAGTATCTTTGAGCCGCCACGTCTAAAGTCAGACGACGGGGCTTGGCGGGCGTCCTGGACATTCCGGGTAGCGGCCGTCGAGGGGGGGGTTCTCTGGGTTTGGGGCTTCTGTGCCCTCCAGCGTTTTGCGCATAGGGGGGTGGTAAGGTCCACCCAGGACCGCGTGTGGGGGCACTTCCGGGCTATGAGGTTGTTCTCGTGGCTCGGTCGGCGTCCGGAAATTATTTCTGGTAGCGGCGACGCGAGTGGAGGCGACGGGTCCCTGGTCCGCTAACACCGGTCAGGGACAGACTTCGGTCAGGGACAGATTGATGAAGTCTTTGACTCTCCTGAAAGAAGTGACGAGAGGAAAAGAGACGCAAAACTGCGGAAGAGTCAAAGGTTAAACTGTTCATCGCCGGAACCAAAGGAAACGGAAAGTGAGAGAGAGGAGAGTGAAATGGAAGAAGGAAGTGTCGCAGGAAGGAATGAGGAAGTCGGACCTGAAGACGCCTACAATATGTGCAGAGGAAGAAGAATAGAAATCCTGGAAATGACGGAGGAAGTCATCCAATACCTGGATGATCTTAGAAAAACGGAAGACTGGAGTGGGAGTGCTAACTGGGTTGAGGAGATGCTCCTAAAAATGAGAGAAGTAGCATCCGATGAGTGGGAAACTCAGTTAACGGAAACTCACATGCGGGAAAAGAGGGACTTGATTGAGCAAAAGGACTACCTGATCAAGGAACTGGTAAAAGGTAGCAAGCCTAGAAAAGAAACTACAGAGTCTGGAGTCTAGGCTGACGATCCTGGAAACAGCGGCCGGCCGAACAAGGGAGAGCGTCGACCCTGATCCGGCGGAGGAGCTGATTGAGAGGCTAGAGAAATCGCTCCTTGAAAAGATGGGGGCGAGAATGAATGCCAGACTGGAGGGACTGGAAGAAAGACTTCTTCCACCAAAGTCTTACCGTCCCCCACTGGCTTCAGATAAAAAGAAGAAGGAGGCCCCTTCCACACAAATCGAGAAACAGAGCGAGAGGGAGAAGTGGGAGATAGTAGCAGGGAAAAAGGGAGCCAGGAAAAAGAAAGAGAGGAAAAGGAAGACTGAGAAAGCCTCCCCAACCGAAAGACAAGCAGAGGGAGCTCCACAAATACAAAAAGAAAAGAAAAGAGGAGGAAAAAAAGGGAAAAAAGGAAGGAAGAAGCCTCGCCTGCGGCCACCGACAACGGCCGCCATCAAAATTGAAATAACGCCAGAGGCGGAGGCTAAAGGCATGACATATCGGGACGTCCTTTTAAAGGCGTCCCAAAATATCAGCCTGAAGGAAATGGGAATCACCGAGGGCATGCGAAACCGGATCGCAGCCACCGGGGCAAGGCTCTGGGAGATCGCCGGAGAGGGAAAAAATGAAAAGGCGGATAAGTTGGTGGAAAGAATGAGGGAGGTTGTCGGAGCAGAGGTAAAGGTGACGAGGCCCACTTTTTGTGCTGACATCAGAGTCACTGGCCTCGATGACGGCATTACGGCTGAAGAGATCCAGCTGGCGATGGCGGAGGAGGGAGGTTGTCCGCCTGATAAGATCAAGGTCGGACCCATACGCACAGGCTTTGGGGGGCTGGGCGTGGCCCTTCTGAGGGTGCCGGTGGAGGCAGCGAGAGTCGTTGCGAGAAAAGGGACCCTAACAGTCGGTTGGGAAAGGTTAAAGTGCGCACATTGCCCACACTCCCCATACGCTGCTTCAGGTGTATGGGGATAGGGCATCTACGGGCGCAGTGTCCTGCAGAGGAAGATCGCTCCGGCCTGTGTTTCCGGTGTGGGAGGAGTGGTCACAAGGCGGAGAGCTGTGAGCGAACCCTCAACTGCGCAATCTGCGCAAGCGAAGGGAGGCCAGCAGGACATAGAATGGGCGGCAAGACGTGTCGTCCATTGGTAAGGAGGGTAATACCGGTCTCCAGGTCTCGGGCACCTCGTGCGGGACCGGGGGGAACTGCCTCGGGCGAAATGGACGCGCAACAGCGCGTCCACTAGTCTGGGGTAGGTCCTCCCGGAGCGGCTCCACTACTCGCCGGACCTCAATAGGCTTCTCCTTCTGAGAACCCTCGCGAGGACGGGGATGTAGATGAGAGGTGAACGGGATGCACCCCTGCTCAGGTGAGGAGGGGGGGGATGTCCCCATCTCGCCCGGCGGCGGCGGCGGCGTCCGGGTCCGGAGCCTGCACCTTGGTGAGCAGTGCGATGGGCTCGGGCGTCGTCGTCGCCGCCGGGCCGCGCGCCGGGCGCCGCCGGTCCGGTCATCGGGTCAGCCCTAGGGCCTATTCGGTGTCCGGGGTTCGGCGGCGTCGGGAGCGCGGCGGACTGTGACATTTAATGCCACGGTCAGCGATGTAGGGATGGAGTCGGCTGCGGCTCGGCGGCGAGGCACTCACCACTTCGGCGCATTTATGAATCGTTGGGGGGAGGAGCCACGTCGACCAGCGGCCGACACCATGGCAGCGGTAATGCTTCCACTTATCGCTCACAGGGCGCCAGAGAGGCGCCGGGGCTGGCCGAGGAGTTCTGCCCGAGGAGTTCAGCTCGAGGGGGAGGCCGAAAAGCGGTTTGTCGAAGCATTCATCAGACGGTAAAGGGAGACCAGATAGCTCAGTAGCGCATCTAGACTCCCTAACGAGGCGAGGTTGCCCCAAACTCCCTCTCTCCTTCTCTCCTCTTTGGATATTTTATTGAGGTGATCTCCTCTTGGCCCCCGCCCGCAGGCAGCGGCCCTCGGTCCCGCACCACGTACGGGATAACGAATGTGACCGGAGGTGGCTCAAGAGCCATTTTTACGCCGGTACGTCGTACGGGCGCGGGTTAGACCGCACACGTCCATACCACGCACCGACCCTCCGCCCACTACCAACAACGACGCCCCAAGTCGTGGCAAGTCGTGGTTTATATTAACTGGGAAGATGTTATCAAGAATAGACGCAATACGAGACTGAAGTATATTTATTTGTTATTCAGATACCCTCAAATACACATATATACCATTCTCCCAGCTTTAATTACAAGTTATTTTTTTATGCTGTACGAGAATGACAGTTTTCTTACCAATACAATTTAATTACATTTACCCTCTCCCGATGTTAATTAAAGATACTAATTAAACACTGAACAGTTTCCATTTATTTCAAACTTATTATCTTAGTACCTATTACAGAAGAAAAACATAATTTTAAGTACCTACCAATTTAAACGTGAGAATTTAGGATACAAAAAAATAAATAAAATGTGTTAAAAAAAAACAAAAATGTAACAACATTACTTATGAGTACTTGAAATCAGCATTATATCTAATAATACCTATATACTATGCAGAATGTAGCACTTAACAATGATTCACAAACAATATCCTGGGCCTTACAATAAACATCATAAAATGGTATTTTTTAATTATTGAACTACAAATCTTTGTACTGGTTTACGATTTCTTTTCGAATACGATCTTTGCATATTAACGTCTCCTAGCGGCTCAACGGCCTCCGGTACAACATTAGACTGTTCTTGCCCTTGGTTTTCGCTCGCACTCGAAAATTCAGCAGCGTCAACGATATTGTCATCAACTTCATGTAATTTTCGTAACTGATCGACATGCTTTTTAAGATATTTATCTTGGAACTTTACATAATATGTTAAAGGACCCGACCGGTCTGAGACCACCCCCTTTTCCCACGAAAAGCTATTGTTTTTAAAAAGTTTAAAAAATACCTTATCACCTATATTGAACTGTCTGTCACTGCCGTTTCTATACCGTATTTGTTTCATTTGTTTTTGTTTTACAAGTTCACTTGTACTAGGACGCAACAAATCAAATGTAGTACGTACTAATAATAACTGTGCTGGTGTTTTACAAGTAATGCTATGTGGAGTTGATCTATATACGAATAAAAATTTCTGTAAAGAATTTTCTAAATCCTGTTTTTCGTACAATGCCTTTTTCAACGCCGTTTTTATTATTTTTACGGCATTTTCTGCTGAGCCATTGCTGCTGGGTTTGTATAGCGTTATCGTTAAGTGATAAATACTTAATGATGACAAGAAGTCCTTGAATTCTTTACCATTAAAGGGTGGCCCATTATCCGAAACGAGTTCATATGGCAAACCAAATTGTGAAAATACGTGCATTAGTTTAGATATTGTATGTTTCGCTGATGTATTTGAAACTCAAAATGCTTCAATCCACTTTGAGTGCGCATCTACAATTACAAAATAATATATAGTATTACCCAACATAGAAAAAAAATCGACATGTAGTCTATACCAAGGCTCCTGTGGCCACAGCCACGGGTGCAGCCCGGCGGCGCGGGGCGAGGGGCGCTCCCGCGCGCACGTGTCGCAAG